AACATGGAGCTTCAACTCAATGGTGCAAAAGTTCAATCCCAAGAAGAGGAAACGCCTTCTAAATCGGCTACTGCAACTAAAAAGTGGGTTCGGGGGAGGCTCGTTGAAGTAGGAGAAGAAGCTTAGTGCAGGTATAGGCAACACCCACAAACTGTGGTGTAACTTTTCTTCCACAAGAATCTCAACTTTTGAGCTCCTATGAGGCATGTCTTGATCACATCCGCGTCTACCAAACAACAATTGCTCTCGTCATTTGTCAAGGTGGCTATTGTTGTTCTCACATAGAGTTCATACTTATTTGTCGACCATGATTGTTATATATGATGCTGATAGTAGAGTTAGAGTTTCTTTGGCCTCCCATCTAAATTCTCTCGGTACCAACAAAGAATTGCATCTGTAATCTTATTTGATATTGAATGTCGATTAAATTTATACATTTTTACTTAATCTATGATACGATATTTTATTGTAACACATGATATGATACGATATTGTAACACATGAACAACCACGTGACCGTACTCTAATTTCTCCTCCTCCTTTTACCAAACTGGTGAGTGGCTCGTGTTGTGAAGCAAAACATGCACATGCACTAATCTTGGCATTATTTGTAACAGTGTTTAAATCATTTTGACAAGAAGCTCTTTAGCATCGTTAAATTACAGCTTTAGATCCTTACAACACACAACATGACTTAATGAACATGACTCTGATGGTAAACTAAGTAGCACTTTCAGGATTACAGGTGTCAATATCCGAGCGCTTGAGTTGAGAGTCCACAACCTTCTCCACCTCTTGCCTCTTCTTCTCTTTCTCCTCTTTCCCTTTCTCTATCACTTTCTCCACTTCCTCCTCCTACAGAAACACAAAGAAACCCCATGAAAGATCAAAGATTGGATTGGAGGCTGCCAAAACATTCAGAGCTTCTTTCCTGCGATAGAAAATGCATGAATTGAAACAAAAAGGAAACAAAATATATAGCCTTACGTCGACGACGCGAGGGATAGGCGGCCTGTGTCCGTGAACAGCAGCCCGGTTGGGAGATTTGATTGTTGTCATAAGACGCCACAGCAGCTCTGGCTTCTTTATTGCCAAGTTTCTAACTACAAGTAGTCTTCCCTGCATATTCTATCACCCCTGCTGCCTTTTCCTTTGCCAATTTTCCTGATTTGTTTCTGGTACAAGCTGAGAGATTGAAAATATAATTCTAAGAAATGCCAAATATGATGGTTCATGAGAGACATGAAGTCTTCTAACTCATGTCGTCTGTATGGACTGCCACGTGTCTTCTCAATGACAAGTGTCATGTCACTCTGTTTTCTAAAAGTAAAGAAAATGCTAGAGGGGGATGGCATATTTCCTTTCCTGATCCCACTAGAAATGATGTGACTGATATTTATCACGCTTCTTGATCCTACTAGAATTATGTTGATTATAATGTGTTTATCACGCTTCCTAGATATAATGTGGTTTTTCTATACAAGCAATATAGAAAAGGGAAAATGGAACACTAGATTTATGATCAGAATTACAATGTCAACAAGTCTCGCTTAGTGAAAAAGGATCTTGACTTGCGCATTAGTAATCTCAAGTTCGAATCATTATGATACCATAGTAGTGTGTGTATTTGAACATCACCGTTAATATATCTTCATGTTTTACGTGAGTCGAATTTGAGAGATTTTCCAATAAGAAAATATAACTCGTACTATGCCAAAAGTTAATTCATCCTAATCATATGATTAAAAACTTAAAGAAAACTTCCATGAGTGGCTCCAACAAACCTTTATTTTGTCTGTCTCCCTTAAATCGTTGGGCTTGTTGAATGGGCTGCGAGACCGAACCACACCAAACCAACAACCATGCATGGTGGGCTGGTAGGTTGTCATTTTCATCCACCGACACCTCCATTGACAGCAGCTCTATCGACATTCCTTCCTGATTGGGCTTCCCTGCATTTCATTCACTCTACCAAAATCCTTCTCTCCCTCCCTCCCTCCCTCCCTCCCCCAGAGTCTCAGACAGACAACAGCAGAAGCTAAAACAAGAAAGCACTTTTCCAACTGCTACTTCTTCAGCCTGACACCAACATTTCCAAATTGGGCTAAACTGAAAAGCCAGAATCCAAATAACCCAGAAAAATGGAGAGGCCAACTTCGTCGTCCTCCTCGGACGACGACGACGATCGCCAAAACCTAATCGAACAAAACGACAGGAAGCTCCCGACCCCTCGATCCACCACCACCGCCTTCCACATCGCCGACGACGATATCGACGACCGCAACCACCGTCACCATCAGCAATTACGACGTCGTTTCACCTCCCTCAAGCTAAACGACCTCTTCAACAAGCGATCGTTTGTCCTCTTCGCCATCTTCGTCCCTCTATTCGTCCTCATCCTCTTCTTCACCACCGACATCAAAGCCCTCCTCTTCTCCACCAGCGTCTCGGCCTCTCCCTTCGGTTCCGTCTCCGATAAGCTCCGCGAATCCGAGCTTCGCGCTCTCTACTTGCTCAAACAGCAGCAGCTTGGTCTCTTCAATCTCTGGAACCAAACACTCCCCAATCCCAACTCCACTTCCAATCACTCCAATTCCCCCCAAATCCCACTCCTCGAGGATTTCAAATCCGCGGTCCTTCGTCAGATGTCAATCAACAAAGACATCCAGCAAGTCCTCTTATCGCCCCACCGCTCCGGAAACTCCACGGAATCGGATTTTCGGGATTTCGGGGATATCGAAAACCCGAGTCTCGGCGATCGGTGTGGGATTTTGGACCAGAAATTATCACAAAGAAGAACAATTGAGTGGAAGCCCAATGCAAGTAAGTACCTTTTCGCCATTTGTGTTTCGGGCCAAATGTCGAACCATTTGATCTGCTTGGAGAAGCACATGTTCTTCGCGGCATTGCTGAACCGTGTTTTGGTGATTCCCAGTGCCAAAGTGGATTTCCAGTACAGTAGGGTATTGGACATTGAGCACATTAACAAGTGCTTGGGAAGAAAGGTTGTGGTTACGTTCGAGGAATTGGCCGAGGCGAAGAAGAACCACGTTCACATTGATAAGTTTATATGCTATTTTTCGCATCCTACACCTTGTTATGTGGATGAGGACCATCTTAAGAAGTTGAAGGGGTCCGGGGTTTCGTTGAGTAAGCTTGAGCCTGCTTGGGTTGAAGATGTGACGAAGCCGAGCAAAAGGACTGTGCAAGATTTTCAGTCAAAATTTTCGACTTCTGATGATGTTATTGCTATTGGGGATGTCTTCTTTGCTGATTTAGAGCAAGACTGGGTGATGCAGCCTCGTGGTCCTCTTGCGCACAAATGCAAGACTCTGATTGAACCAAGCCGGCTTATAATGCTTACTGCCCAGCGTTTCATTCAGACATTCCTTGGCAAGAACTTCATAGCTCTTCATTTTCGGCGACATGGGTTTTTGAAGTTCTGGTACACTTTTTCTTGCCTTGCATTGCCCTGTTTATTACTTTGCCTATTTGGGTTTTCTTATTTAATTTCAAAGTATGTTTAGCTATTGCACTTGATTGTTCTTCACGACAGAATATAGATGGAGTTAGAGTACATTTGTAAAGGCACAGAGCAACAAGCTCCCAACTCTAAATATTGTGATTTCAAGGGAACAAAAAATGCAGAAACATTGGGTAGCAGCACTACTTACCTGACTTCATGCTGGAACAATTGATCTATTATGGCTTTGGTTGTCACTGGATAATTTAGAGTGTGATGTCAAAGCATCAGTATATGCTCCAATTATGGTGTGCTTTTTACAAATTAGATTGTGGGTCTTCTGGCATTGTGCATGCTATTAGCATTTTCAATTTGCATCTATCTTACAGTACTTCTAAAATGTTTGCTTATCTTACAGCAATAATAAACAGCGAAGTTGCTTTTACCCCATTCCCCAAGCTGCGGATTGCATAACTCGGGTGGCTGAAAGGGCCAATGCGCCAGTCGTATATCTTTCGACCGATGCGGCTGAGAGTGAAACTGGTTTGCTGCAATCACTAGTTGTGGTGAATGGAAAAGCTGTGCCATTTGTTAAACGACCTGCACGAACTTCAGCTGAAAAATGGGATGCTTTGTTATACAGACATGGAATGGAGGGGGACGGTCAGGTAGATTGTGCTACCATTTTAACATTCTATGACCATATTAGGGTGTGTTGGTTAGTAGACAGAACATCAAAGTTGTTGCATGATATCCATGTAATTTCTATGCCTTCGTTATGCTTGTAGGTAGAAGCTATGCTGGATAAGACGATATGTGCCATGTCGAGTGTCTTCATTGGAGCATCTGGATCCACTTTCACAGAGGATATCTTGAGGCTCCGAAAGGATTGGGGATCAGCTTCGTTGTGTGATGAGTACCTCTGCCAAGGTGAAGACCCAAACTTCGTAGCGGAGAATGAATGAAGAAATAGTATGTTGAATATTCGGTCATTGTTATTCTTTGTGGTTGAACCTGCCCCTGTTGTATGCCCTTCTAATTAGTGGTAGGTTTACCCCGAAATTTATTGACATGTATGTTAGTGTATGATAGCGTCTGCATTTCGAAAATGAGATTTGTTTTGCGTATCTCTTTTTCCTTTTCTTTTTTCGCATAATGATAAAATGACTAGATGTGATGCTGATGGTGTCATTCTTAGAGTATATATATGAGTTCTCTTTGGCATTTTTCCCATAAGGTGGATCATATAGAGTATGGAGTGTTCACTTGGTCTTATTAAGCACACAAGACTTTTGGTGCTGAAAAGAGAAGCTTACATGATCAATTGCTAAAGGTTTATATATTTTTCAGAATTTTATTGGATTAGATCATGCCTACGATAAACAGCACCATTTATTCGATGTTTACGTAAGATGCTTGCGTCTCAATCACTAATATTTAAGAAAAGGCATGCAGCATCTGCTTGCCATTTTGGCAATTCAAAGATATGGTTTTTGTTCTAATGTTGACATTTCTGTAAAGTTTAACAGGTACACCACCACACTGACCAATTTGGCCTGGTTGAGTTTTGGTTCGTCCTCCTGATGCTGAAAATTACTTTTTAAGAGGTCTGGATTAACGTACAAGTTTAATTCATTATCATTTACTAAGCTGTGATTAGTGCCCCAAAGAAGAATGAAAGTATCAACTTGAGATAAAACACCGGAATTAGAATCAGAATCAGTTGTCAACTTGGAAAGGAAAACATCACTCACCAGTTCGTTAGTGTTACCAGTTCATTCATTCATTTTAAAAGAAAGGTTTTTGCACGACAATTATTTAGTGTTACCAATCGATTCATATTAAAAAGACAATTATATAGCGTTATCGATCGATTCATGTTAAAATTAAAAAGCTTGCATATTAAAACATGTGGATTAATAACCTTCCGACTAAACCATTTTCTCATCTAGTGGATAGGATCAAATTTCAACTAACTGGAGGGCAATGGGCCAAATAACTAAATCCCATTCCACTTGCGAGGATTGTGCCGCGTGGAGTCTCTACAAGAGAAGAGCTGAGTCACCCTCCATTCGATTCGCCTTCACAATCACAAAAATTCACCAAAAAACACAACACACATGACATGACGCCGCCTCTTCTCTTCCTCTTCCTCTTCCTCTTCCGTCTACGATCCCTTCTGTAACTGGTACCTTCCTTCTTCTTGATGCTCGTCGCCTCTTAGCTGGTTGGTTTGGTTGTATTTTGGCTTTTCGTTTCATGCGTTGCTTTCCTCCTCCAGTTCTATCGAAACTTCAATCCCAAAACTCCCACATTCTCATTGCATCATCATATATTCCTTTGATTTGGATTTGATTTTTAATATTTTGTTTCTGTTCCTCCACTCCTTTGACGTCGTCTTGGATTTTTTTTAAAGAAAAAAGAAAGCTTTTTTTTTTCAGAGGTTTGAGAGTGGAGATTCAATGATTCTTCATCATAATCATCTTCTCCTTCGTCAATGACTTAGAATATACCAATTTCGTTTATTTATTTTTAATTAAAAACAAAAACCCAAAACAAAGATTCAATTTTTTTCTTTCTTTTTATTATTCTATTCATTTTTTGTTTGTTTTGTGTGCTTAATGATCACGAAGAAAAAACCTATTTAAGAAGTGGGTTGATAAGGGGCCAAAGTTCATAGTTGTTGTGGTGACAACTTGGAAGGATGAGAGCGAGAGTGATAGTGTTTCCTGTTAGAGGGAGGAACTGGTGCTTCAGCAGATCCATTCAGCCTCTGGTTTCAGACTCTGCCTCTCATATTCCTTCAACTCTCAAAGACCTCTGGAAAAAGCTCTCCTTCTCTTCCAAAACCAATGCCAATGCCAATGCCAACCCTTTTGCTGCCAACGCTGAGCTCGTCGTTGATTTTGTCTCTACCAAGGTTCATAGAAAAACCCATTATTTCTAGCATTTACTGCTGCTGTATTTGCACTTGGGTTTTCTTATATCTATTTGGATATCATGGTTTTGTATTTTGTTTTTGAGTAGATGAACAATGCCTGGATGGGGCTGGAGAAGGCGCCTCAGGGAACTTTTAAAAACAAGCTTCATGGGTGAGTAGAACCCAAAACAAAGATTCAATTTTTTTTCTTTCTTTTTATTATTCTTTTCATTTTTTGTTTGTTTTGTGTGCTTAATGATCACGAAGAAAAAACCTATATAAGAAGTGGGTTGATAAGGGGCCAAAGTTCATAGTTGTTGTGGTGACAACTTGGAAGGATGAGAGCGAGAGTGATAGTGTTTCCTGTTAGAGGGAGGAACTGGTGCTTCAGCAGATCCATTCAGCCTCTGGTTTCAGACTCTGCCTCTCATATTCCTTCAACTCTCAAAGACCTCTGGAAAAAGCTCTCCTTCTCTTCCAAAACCAATGCCAATGCCAATGCCAACCCTTTTGCTGCCAACGCTGAGCTCGTCGTTGATTTTGTCTCTACCAAGGTTCATAGAAAAACCCATTATTTCTAGCATTTACTGCTGCTGTATTTGCACTTGGGTTTTCTTATATCTATTTGGATATCATGGTTTTGTATTTTGTTTTTGAGTAGATGAACAATGCCTGGATGGGGCTGGAGAAGGCGCCTCAGGGAACTTTTAAAAACAAGCTTCATGGGTGAGTAGAACTACAAGCTCACAGAAACTTGAGTGAATTTTGGGGTTTTCATATGCCTCACTAAAGTTTGGTGATATGAGTTTTAAATTGAGCAATTATAATGTAGGTTGGGATTGAAGCTGTTAGCTCGCGTTAAGCCTTCTGAGATTTTCCTGAAATCAATCTCTAATGAGGTCACGGGTGTTGAAGTTACATACCCTTCAAGGTTTCTTTCTGTTGCTTTCACTTACAAATTTGCTTCCTTCTTCTCTTTTTAAAAGCGCTATCTTTTCAACTTCTTCCATCATTTTTCTGCTGGGTTTGTATGGAGAGCCCTTGAGTGAATTTTGGGGTTTTCATATGCCTCACTAAAGTTTGGTGATATGATTTTAAATTGAGCAATTATAATGTAGGTTGGGATTGAAGCTGTTAGCTCGCGTTAAGCCTTCTGAGATTTTCCTGAAATCAATCTCTAATGAGGTCACGGGTGTTGAAGTTACATACCCTTCAAGGTTTCTTTCTGTTGCTTTCACTTACAAATTTGCTTCCTTCTTCTCTTTTTAAAAGCGCTATCTTTTCAACTTCTTCCATCATTTTTCTGCTGGGTTTGTATGGAGAGCTACTTTGAAAAAACAACAGATAGTGACATATATAGAATAGCTCGCGTTTTATTCATTGCCATTTGGAATGATAACACCTTTTATTGTACAATGCAAAATGCTACAGCCCATGGTAGTGTGAAATTCTGTCTGCAACGAATTTGATAGAACTTCACAGAAATTATACGGTGCTTTATCTATTAGATGGGCTAATAGGAATATATAAAATAAAAAATTTAGCGTATCAACTTATGAGCTGTGCCCAATCACAACACTAAACAATGAAGACTTGGTAATTGTGAGTCAAAACAATTATTGCTTTTAGTATTTCTCTCTGAAAAAGAATTTATTAGTGCAAAAAGAATGCTCAATATTCTAATTTTTATTTGCATTTTTTTTCTGTGATTTGTATATATATTTTCTGTGATTTGTATATTTTATTTTTTATGTTTTGGTGTCCTAATCATATATTAGGGTTTTGCAGCTTAAATGCACGGCTTGTCCGTAGGAGGGTACGACATATAGCTATGAGGTATTCTTTTGCTTGCACATATGATAACTAGAGGTTTAGAGCTACATTTATTGATTGTATGACTTATTTTCTCTTTTTTCCATTGTATTGAGCAAGAACCAAAATACCAAATCTATATAAACCTTGCTGACGAGTGGAGCCGCTCCTCGACCCAATTGAAATCAACGAGGCTCTTTCAGTCAATGTTTATCGTTTATGACTCTTTAGATTGTATATCAATGCTGGACTACTTTCAAAAGTTCATATGACTTTACATAGATTTAGAAGATTATGTGTAATTACAGTATTAATAAATTTGGGCGTTATTTTATCATGGGTCAAGGTACTTTTCTCACAGCTTCATGCATTAACAGTGGAGAGTAAGAGCGAAATTGATTGTAGGGAGTCTTAAGCTTTATGTGTTGAGAATGATATCTAGATCCAAGACCCATGAAATTTCTGTCGATTGATGACCTTTGCAACTTAATTTCCAAAATCTCCTTTGTGTTGTGGTACATTTGGTGTTTGTTATTTGAAGGGCTATTGAAGATGGCATTAATTTCCATTGGATATATTATGTTGATCTATGATGAGACCAAAATTTATTGATATGAAGTTTTATCTGATTATCAGGGGATCTATCATACACAAAAAGTACTTATATGGTTCGCTTACGTTGCTTCCTCTGACATCTGCATTTACTGTACGTATGTGTTAACTTGGGTCTTATTTCACTGTGAATTTGTTCAGTCTGTTGCCAGATCAACTAAATTCCCATTCTTACATGAGTTGTTTTTAATTCCATGCAGGTTTTGCCTTTGCCTAACATTCCCTTCTTTTGGTGTTTATTCCGTACTTACTCTCATTGGCGAGCTCTACAGGTGCATTGCATACACTGTTTTTAGAGATAAAAACTATTTGTAGCCTGATTTCTTTTGTAAAATAAACTAGAAAATTAGTTAAAAACTCTGCAGAAGATATTTGTTTTTGCTGTTTCAATCCTGGTAGATCAGTTATGTATTGCCTATTACAATATGTAGATATATCAATATTCTTTCTTGTTTTTTGTTCTTGTTGATGTTTAAGGGAAGCGTGAAGCTCCTTCAGCTAGTCTCAGATAGCCATGACACTCCCAATTCTACTATCAATGGAAATGAAACTGAGCACATTAAATCTCAGCACGGACGCAAAAAGATACATGATTCTCTATGGGTAAGTTATTTTATGATGTCCTGAAATTGGAGTCCACTGGGTTTTGATTTTCAATGGTCTGTGACAACAGTCCCTAGAAGAACCCTGTACTGGTAGATATTATTGCAGTTGTCTGGGTTCTGTTGCATTCCTTTAAGTAGTTAGTGTTAGATAAACCTAACTTCTGAGAGCCTTCGTCACTTATGCACAATTGGGAGATTTATGGGATTTCTGCATCATCAATAAGCTAGGCATGAGAAGAACACAATGAAATTTAGGTACCGCAACGACAACAATGGGCTTCTTTCTTGGCCTCCTGCTCAGTTACCATCGCCAACATGCTCATGCATTGGGCTGACACCATGCACACACAAGCAAGCTATTTATGTTGTTGATAACAACTTGAGATATCTTCCTGTTTTTGATTAGTTTTTTAGCCTAGTAAGTTTTACTTTTGTTTAATCTTCACTTGCGTCATCATCCTGTCCAATAGATCATAATTTAATCACCATTTGCTTACTGTCTCAACCATTAATTGCTCAAAACTGTTGCTTCCCCTGCTTTCTTGAGATCAGACTAACTCGATATGGTCGCCCAGATCCAAGCTTGTGCACGAGTACGCAAAAACACCTTTTCCACAAATGCTTATAATATTATCACATTGACTCCTGTCAAGCATAGCATCATTCAATTTTCTCTCTTTTTATAAATTTATTTTTTTGTTCCTCTATGTATTTAGGTTTTGCAGCCGTCTAAAGAACTTGAGGAACTTCTTCATCATGGAGATGAGCAAGACGGTCTGAAAAAACCCGCTATATTAGATATCTGCAAAACCTTTGAATTGAACACTAATGATGTTCTGAAATACAGAGATTCAATGTAGTTACATATTTGTTTTCCATATGCAATGTAGCATCACATTCGCTAGTGAAAAGCAATTTCATCTTCTTCTCTTTTTCTTTATTTGTTGGAATAATTGGGCAATGCCAGAGGAAAATTTTGAATTATGATGACCCAGAATTTTTACTGTGAAGTTTACCTCTTCTACTGGTGCTTGGAAAAATGCACCAGATTATAAAGTTTACCTCTTCTACTGTGAATTTCTGTCTTGGCTTCCGACTCTGATTCTGATTGGTTTACAAAAAGTCTGCGAAAATTTACATCTTTACTGATAGTATTATCTGCATATAGAGAGCAATTTGCAATTGGTTATTTTTGTTTTGCAAATCACTACACAGCAAGCCAACATTAACTGCAAATTCACTGATGGTGATTTAAATTCCGTTATTTAAGAATTCTATACAATTTTCAAATCCTTCATCCAAATGGAGGTAAACCATTTTCAGCTGCTGGATCAGAACCCAATTCCAAGCCGAAAATATGATTTAGTACCATCAAGTCCCAACCTTACCCTATCTGAAAAAATGATACTTCCAAATGTGCACCCTGTAATTTGATGAATACACCAAATATTCATTTTCTTTTTTTCAAAATACCCCCTAATTTATCCTTAAGCTTACCGATCAAATAACTTTAAAAAAAACATTAAAATCAGGTGGATATTTCTATATACAAAGCAAAAGACGTTTATGGTTAAATTAAGTAACTCTTTATTTGGGAAATTTTTTTTTTTCAAAATATAACTACTTCATTTTCAAGAAACCTATGTAAAATATTAAAATATAAATAATGAAAAATATAAATGAAACGAGCCTAATCCGACATAATACTTGCACGCGCACAACACGTGATCAAAATTTCCCTATAAATTATAGAAGCAAAACGCAAAGCAGCGGTATTGATTGGGACTTGCGAGAAGGTTAGGAGCGTAGCTTGAACAAAAAGAAATTCGATTGAGCTCTCCAAAATACTTTGAGCAAAAAATCTAGTGCAAACTCCAATCTCTACTCTCTAGTCTCCAATGGCGCCCGAACCTGAAGACATCAAGGACGAGAAGAACCCTAGACCCCTCGACGAGGACGACATCGCCCTCCTCAAGACCTATGTGAGTTTTTAGCTCAATTTTTCACAAACCCTATTTTCCCCCTATCAATTTTCGATCTGTTCGTCTGTCTTTCATTTTCGCTGAATCTCAAATCCCCAATTTCATATGTCGCGTCATGTTTCTCAGATTATTTTTGTGATTAGTACAAAATGATAATAAGGACTTAATGGAATATGCAGGGGTTAGGGCCTTATTCAACACATATTAAGAAAGCCGAGAAGGAAGTAAAGGATTTGGCTAAGAAGGTCAATGATTTGTGTGGTATGTACATGCCCCTTTGCTCAATTTTGTGCCCAATTAAAAATTTGTCAGTGTATGTGCTTAGCTTTGTACATGGGCCAAGTTTAAGTGGATTGCTTTACAGGTATTAAGGAGTCTGATACTGGCTTAGCTGCACCCAGCCAGTGGGATCTTGTTTCTGACAAGCAAATGATGCAGGAGGAGCAGCCTCTTCAGGTTTGGTTTGGTTTGATTGCGCACTCAACCATACAGTCACTGTTTTGTGTTATAATTTGATAATGAAGCATTGATTGATTTTGTGAGCCAGGTTGCAAGATGTACGAAGATAATCAATCCCAATTCTGAGGATGCTAAATACGTCATAAATGTCAAGCAAATTGCAAAGGTCTAGCCTCTCTTTTTTGTTTTCCTAAAACAGCTCCCTTTTTCTTCTTTATTTTTTTCCATATGTTTCAGTCTTTTATTTTTTGGTTCTCCTGCTCCATTCCTCATATCCTGTATCATTTCTGGAAAATTTGCAGTTTGTTGTTGGGCTGGGTGACAAGGTTTCCCCAACTGATATAGAAGAAGGCATGCGTGTGGGGTAGGCCCTCCTATTCCTGAACTATGATAATTTTACAGATTTGTTAATCTTATTCAATTATTGGCATGAACATAGCTAGTTTAGGATGCATCACGTAAGGTTATGCTTGATTGTATTTGTAAAGCGACACACCAAAGAATTGCTTAAAGAACTTGTGCAATAGCGAAGGTTTTTAAAAAAACTATAGGAAAATAATTTATTACAGCACCTTTTCCGCATGCTCACATCTCTGCTCCTGCCTTATCACCAATATTTTATGATGTTGTTCTTTAACATTCTAAATTTGTTGTTGATGACTATGTTAGTTCTCTTAGAATTGGAGTTAGTGCTGTATTTTGTCATGTGCTCACATCTTTATCAAGTTTGTAGTGAATATGTTGGAGGCTTGTGTTTGTTTGCTACTATATTGTCGTTTGGTTAACCTTTAGTTTGTCACTGCAGGGTTGACAGGAACAAGTATCAAATTCAGATTCCTTTGCCTCCAAAGATCGATCCAAGTGTGACCATGATGACAGTGGAAGAGAAGCCAGATGTAACATATAATGATGTTGGTGGATGCAAGGAGCAGATTGAAAAGATGCGAGAAGTGCGTATAGCTTATTTAACCATCTTTCTTTCCACTGTTTGTGTGTTTCCTTGTCAATGTATAAACATCTGTTATGTTTGGTTTTAGGATAAAAACTTAACAGTGTGCATATGTACTTGATTATCTGTCTTAGGTTGTGGAGCTGCCAATGCTTCACCCGGAGAAGTTTGTGAAGCTCGGAATTGATCCTCCAAAGGGTGTCCTCTGTTATGGTCCTCCAGGAACCGGTAAAACACTTCTAGCTAGGGCTGTTGCTAATAGAACTGATGCTTGCTTCATTCGTGTTATTGGGAGTGAGCTTGTTCAGAAATATGTCGGTGAGGGTGCTAGGATGGTTCGTGAGCTCTTTCAGGTGAGAAGTAGTTGAATGTTTAGCCATATTGCATTAACTTGGAATTACTTTGAGTACTGTATTTATGCTACTTTATTTTCTGACTAATTATGTTATATTTTGCAGATGGCACGCTCAAAAAAGGCTTGTATTGTGTTTTTCGATGAAGTTGATGCCATAGGAGGAGCTCGCTTTGATGATGGTGTGGGTGGAGACAATGAGGTTCAGCGTACGATGCTTGAAATTGTGAATCAACTTGATGGGTTTGATGCTCGTGGAAACATCAAAGTTTTAATGGCAACAAACAGGTCTGTTTGTGTATTTCATTTTGTACTTTTTAAGTGATTTTCATTTGAGTTCTTTTTTACTTCTAATTAACACCTGTCTGTTTATAATATGGTTTTTATTGGACCTTTTTTTCAGGCCCGACACACTAGACCCAGCACTGTTACGTCCAGGACGATTGGATCGTAAGGTTGAGTTTGGCCTCCCCGATTTGGAGAGTAGAACTCAGATATTTAAGATCCATACACGAACAATGAACTGTGAAAGAGATATTAGGTTCGAACTACTGGCTCGACTCTGCCCAAATTCAACTGGTAAGGATGCTTGACAAACATATTGTCATTATTACATAGTTCTATCTATTCTTATTGTTAATTTCATATGATGAGACATTTTGGTTACCATAAATCTAAGGGGATGTGGTCATTTGCATCTTCTTCATTCCTTTTGTATGTTCCATGTGCAATATATATGGTTCTCCTGTTTGTGATCGGACCTGCTACATGCCTCCTATCTTGACTTGGCTTAATGTATTATTGGACTTCAATTTTGTTTTGTGACATGATCGTCTCTTTCTCAGGGGCTGATATAAGAAGCGTTTGCACTGAAGCTGGAATGTACGCCATCCGTGCACGAAGGAAGACAGTAACAGAGAAGGATTTCCTTGATGCTGTGAACAAAGTGATTAAGGGGTACCAGAAGTTCAGTGCAACACCGAAGTATATGGTTTACAACTGAGCCTAGATGTTCTATTCTGTTTCCAGAGGCCACCAACAACTTCAGTGCAACACCGAAGTATATGGTTTACAACTGAGCCTAGATGTTCTATTCTGTTTCCAGAGGCCACCAACAACTTCATATCTGTTGTTTGAATTGTATTCTTGTGTTTAAACTTAGTTGTTCAGTTTATAAATCACTCTATGATGGTGGTTCTGAACCTGCTCCAACGAAAAACCGATCCGATTGCTTTATACACTCGTTTTTTCTTGCCACTCCAATTTCTAGACAATTTCATCTTTTGCACTTATTTTCGAAGTATTAGTGACGGGTGAAAGTTTACAATTATTTTAGTTCAATGTGATGCAGCTATCCTAATTATCATGGGTTGATTGGTATTAATATCAGCCATGAAAATCAATGACAGGAAACCTTACAGTTGAATCCTGAATGATCAGCCTTGGACCCCGTTTGGTTCATGGAACGGATTTGAGGGGAAAGCACTTCCCATGTCATTTCCTAGGGGATGGGAAATGAAGATTATTTTCCCATGTTTGGTAATCTTGGGAAAGTAATCAAGAAATATCACTTTATTTCCTTTCATATGTTTGGTTTGTGTAGGAATGTAAAAAAGGTTTGTTTAAATTTTCAATTATACCCATATAAAATCAAATAATCAAAAAAGAATGCATTTAATGCTATATTGTAATTCTAAATTGTTAATAGAGACAATATAGTCATGAAAAATGTGTATTTAATGTTGGCTCATTTTCCAAACACAAGGGGGGAGGAGGGCTTCACTTTCCCTTCTACTTTCCCATATGCAAGACAACGATTTCTCACGCCTAGGCTTACCAAACATGGGAAAACAATTGATTTCCTAACCCCAAACCTCCTTTTCCATGAACCAAACAGGCCTTGCGGCCTTGCTTGGGTTCAATCTCAGTATCTCAGCCTATCTTGTGCTCATTCATCCTGCCTTGGTTGTCTCATCTTATTTGTTCTTTTTGTGTTGAAGGGCAGAACAATTCCATGGAGTAGAATCAATTGATGGTCTGTTCAGAGCTCGAAAATGGAGGGTTGTGGATAAATTTCCGAATTTACCCTCACTTTTGACAGAAAATTTAACAGAGTTTGACGGAGGGACTACTGGTGCAATATAGCACCTAGTTGAGTGACCCTTGCAACTAATAATTGAATTGAAGGACCAAAGTGTAAATACGGGTATAGTTGAGGGACCATTGCTACGAATAACCCTAAAATAAATTTTCTCATATAAACGGCTCTTGAGTTTAGGACAAGCTTATCATAAAATTCAAACAATGCTAACAGCAAATCATCTCGAGTCCATCCACGCTTATAAAATTCCGTCTTCTATGCCCATTTTGATGCCAATATAAACTGCGGGCTCTTGAAAAAACTTGCAACTTTTTCGCCCTGGAGAAAACTTGTGATGAGATCACAAGAAGGTATGATAGTTCTCTCTAAGCTTCGAAATGCCAGCAGAACCGAAAAACTCAAGCTTGGGCAAGAGGGTCTTCTCAGCATTTGCTAGGACCAGTTTTGGGCTGTCAAGTTGAGAGAGTAAGGGGTTTGTAACTTAAGTAGTTCAGAGTATTTACCTCTACATCCGAGGTCCTAGGTTTGATTCCTCCTCCAAAGTTGAAAGATGCGGGTGTCACTGAGTCCATTCCATGGTGTTAGAGAAGATTAAGAACCGAGTTTTGTCTTCAAGTACTGAACTGCACCCTCTTATTAGTGAGGGAGAGTTTTGGGGACAACCATGAGTCTTTAAGCGAGGAAGGAAGCTGTAAAAGAGTGACCTTGACCTTGACCTAGCTATTGTGGTTTACCTAATATGATTTTGTTGAGGAATATGATATGATTGTGAAAATAGGTTTCTTTTGAAGAAATGCAAATGGGTCATTGAGCAACCAACAATTCTACAACTTGGAAGCAGTAATTGCAATCTTTTACAACAATTGAAGCTCTCAAGCATAACTGCAATGTACCAAAACAATACAATGCTCTAGTTGTAAATCAAAATCACATTTTATACGTTCTCAAATTTAGGGAGGATGGATAGGAATGATTCCTTCCTTCAAACCATTTGATTGGAAAGGAAAAATGAATTTAAGTTTAGTTTATTTACTTCAATATCGTACAGATACAAGAGAAATCAGGTGCATCAAGATTCAAGAGGCCTATATGCTTCTGTTCTGCAAACTGATGTAGTGATGTTGCATGGCGCATGATTTGATTTTATTGTATACATACTGTGAGAAATAAAAATGAAAGACGACTTTATCATTTGAAACAAGCTCCAAACCGTTTTGGGCAGCACCAGTTCAAGTTTGCAAAATATTCAACAAGGAAAGAACTACCTCAACTATGTAAAATATTAACAAACATATGCTACCAAGCGTGTAGGCTCAGTAACATATGGTGTAGCCAAGGTGAATATGAACTCAAAATGTATGCTTTTCTTGCGGCATGTCCTCAAGTGTATCAGCATTGTCACCTTGTGCTTTCCTCAAGACATGTCGTCCTGTCCATTGGCGTTGTCGCCTCTCTGGGATCCTCCTTGATCATTTCCAACTGTTCTCCTGCTCATGTTAGCTCGCTGCACCAACCGAACCAATGCTTCAACCACTTCCGACATAGGAGGTCGGAACTCAGGCTCGGGCTGCACCAAAATGTGGTAGTTAAGGATCAGATGTTCACTTCAGTGCAGAAAAAGCAAAACCCAAAGCCTATATCTTATATTTTAAACAGAAGCTAGCTGACAGTTGTCATTCATGCCTTAACGAGTTAGACATTATTCAATTTAGTATAAACTCCAAAATACATTACCTGGACACAAAGGGCAATCACATCAGCAAACCGTGACAGAGATTTAACTGGATAGAGCCCCTTGAGTGCTGGATCTACCATTTTCGAAAGAGCGTCAATATCATGGAGCTGGGGTGTTGCCCATCGAACCAGAGATTGTTCAGATCTAGGCTTCGAGCTGTTAAGGAATTTTCATACAACAATTAGCTTCACCAATCGTTAAAAGTGATTATATTATTAATACTATTTTTATGTCAACACTTACCTATCAAATGGTTTCCGTCCACTAATAAGCTCCAGCATAACCACTCCAAAACCGTAGACATCACTCTTTAGATTATATTGACCAGACATTGCAACCTCAGGTGCACTGTACCCAGATCCCGCATTGTGCTCCAAGGCCTGCTCATGTTATACTTAAAACATCAGAATTTTCCCACAAAATCAATGATCAATTCATTTGATTCAACAAGAATGGACATGGGTTCTGCTAAGTGGTCAACAATATCCATCTGCAGACAATCATCAATGGCCGTCACTTCATTCAATGAAGTGAAGCTATGAAGTCTCAGCACATTTTAAGGCATAAAGTTGGTGTTTCACCAAGGAGTTCCACATGAATTTTTCCTTGCTAACAAATAAAACTCATGGAAGCCTACAGGAGATCTGACAAGTCTGCTACTGCCTTATTTCGCTAGGTCCATTTTATGTAAATGTTAGACATAGAATCTTACTACTCAGAATCTCTGACATCTGATTGGTGCATCTGAGTTTGCTTACAAGTGTTTGCAAATCCTGGTAATTACAATTTATAATAATCTACAATGTCCCAATACAGCTATTCCGTTGGGACACAATTTCACATAATGGAATCACCAGTTCAAGTTGTATAGATATATATATATACTAGCCTCTCCGCACACGCTTTTGCACCTGCGAGAGGCTTTTTAAAAAAAAAATTAAATTTATTTTAGAATTAAAAAAGATAATGGGTAGTTGTGTTCCATAAAAATAGGATCCATTATCTGATTTTCTTTTAATTTTAATTTTTTTAAATATGAAAAAGTGTGAATTTACCATATTATCCTCATTTAATTAATAATTTCAATTCTTAATGTTTGCATTAACCAAGGGCATTTTCTGGTATTTTGAATGTTTTATCATTCTCTGCCAAGCTTTATATATATATATTTTTTAAATGAAGTATAACAGATCTCAAACTGAACCTGATCAGCATTGGGGATAAAGCTTGCGAGGCCAGTGTCTGAAAGATGAGGGTTGAGCTCCACATCCAGTAATATGTTGGCTGACTTTATATTTTTGTGAATAATTGATGGTGAGCAAACTTCATGCAAGTACCTTTAAAAAAAAAAGCATTGTGAGTACCAGAAACACTTCATTCTCATTTGTCAAAAAAATATTTAAAGTACCGGTCATAGAGATTTGACACCCCCTGAAATCAAGGTTTCAAAAATGAGTTCAAGCTTATATTTATAAGAAATGCAACCATCTAATTATATCCAACTTTCATGTCTAACTTTCAATTTGACCATTTACCCACTAACAACTTACTCTAGTGCCCGTGCAGTCCCCAAAGCAATCTTGACCCTAGAGTTCCATGTCAATGGCTTGTTGTAGTCATCTGATAGATGCAGGAAGTCATGCAGCGAACCACTTTTATGGAACTCATAGACTAGCAGGTGCTGTCCATGCTCTGAACAGTAACCCACCAGCTCCGTTACATTCGGGTGATGCAACTGGGAGATGTTCGAAACAATCTCTGTGAAATCTTCTGACAACTCACTAGGAAGGACAGATGAATCTATTTTCTTCACAGCAAGAACCTATAATATTGTTAAAAGAATTAACAAATTAATATAATTTATGTTTAGTCTTTTAGAAACAATTGGAATTGGAGTATTTGATAAATAAGAAAAAAGAAATTCAACAAATGCTTAACCAACCATATAGGCATGCAGCATTTATACTCTCTGGAGCATTCTCTGTGTGTGTGCGCATGAAAGCACAACCCATGTGCCCACGCGGGCAAGGCAAAAGAGAGAGCCACAGACAGGATATTAAAGAAGGAAAAGCACTACTCTTTGAACTCGATATAAAGGGAAATTGACAATGAATCAAAAGAGATTATATTTTTCCAATCTCAATTGCATGGCAAATAGATTAATTAGGTAAAAAGTGTACCTTCCCATCATCAAATTGAGCGCGATAAACACGTCCAAACGACCCCTCACCAAGAAGGTTTTCAACGTTAAAGCTGCCAGTAGCAATCTGCAGGTCTGCTATTGAATATGAGGTCACATTTAAAGGAGCTGTGCTGGTTTTCTTGACCACAATGGGCTTCTTTGAGAAATCTTCTTCATCAAATGATTTATGACGATCCACTGGTGGGGGTCTAAGATTTATTGTGGCAGGAGTATCAAAGGTCTTCATGTCCAACGTGGCAGGGGTTTGTACAGATTTCATTTCTGCATTGGAGTGCCACAGACATGGCAGTAAACATTCAAAAACAACCATGGAAAGTAAAAAATGGTTCAACAAAGAACTTGTAGATCTGAACAAACATAATTGAAATGTTTCTATAGCTTATATGCATCACTAATTTCAAAAGTTTAAGGCTTGGTCCTTTTTCTGTAATTTCAATTAAAAAAAGGTTTGTGAATAAACTGAATCTACAGACATCGAAACATTGGCACAGGCTTTGCCAACAAACGTGTTCAGTACACTGCATGTTTGAAAATCAACCAAAAAAAGAACTGCATGTTTGAAAAGTTCCTTGGCATTAATAGTAGTTTTATTTACAACACCATAGATCTCGATCATTTACTTTCACTTGAATGATTTGCAACATGAACTAATAAACTCGGCAGGTATTTTGCAGAAAATAATGAAATTCAAATCCAGTTACAACAGCATAGCAAACCCCAACAGAAATGATAGGTAAGACGCAGAAAATTTTCTGATAATGCTCAACTGAATGTAAGATGTAGAAAAATTGTAGGCACCTTTTACTTCACTTGCAAGGGGAGCAAAGGGCTGACTATCAAACTTCTCCACGTCTGAGGACAACCTCCTCGATCTTCTCTTTATGATAAAGAATGCGACAACCCCCGTGACTACCAAAAGAGATATCACTATTCCTGCTATACCACCACCTCCTATTCCTGATTTCTTTCCACCTTCACCTGCACCACCTTTTGATGGTGAGCCATTGCTGCCAGATTTGTGATTTCCGTTGTTCTTGCTGGCTGGAGGTGTACCAGGTGGAGGTGGGGGTGCAGGGCCTGAGTTCCATTGGTTTCCATCCTTCCTGTCGTGAGATTTCTTAGAATCATATAATGAACAGATTCATTCCAGATTTAAAATAACAGTAGCTAATAATAGAATGCTTACTCCAGATTAATGTTTTTCAACTGCTCTGGAATCCAGCCAGTAAACTGGTTATTTTGAATATTCCTAAGAAACATAAACAAAAGCGCTTTAATGGGCTGAAGGCCAGGACACTGAGGAAAGAGAGGGAGAAGGAGCAATGAATATCCGTGTAAGTTGTATGGATATCTCACAGATTTTCAAGGGGGAGATTGGCAAGGACATTAATGGTCCCTGTAAGCTGGTTATTCTGCAAATACCTGAAAGAAGAGAAATTCCAGGGAAGAGTCAAGACAAAAACTAGATAATTATACCATAATGAATTAATAATAAAACTTTCAATACTTACATTGTGGTCATACTTGAGAGGGAGCTTAAACTCTCAGGGAGGTTACCTGACAGAGAATTGAAAGATAGATCCCTGAAGCAAAGAATAGAAACTATCGTCATTTGATCCCTTAGCAAAACCAACTTGAAAATATTATAACGACTTGTTTAATTTCTGAGCATTATACCACACACATTGAAGAAGGTGATTGACAATTGAAGAATTTCAAAGAAAAACATAACTAGATACAGAGATATCCCAGGCGTACATTATAAAGATATTCAAAGATTGTTATTGACAGATTATAAAATATCGTATACTGCGAATGACATTACAGTTTCTTTTAGAAGAAGGGAATGGCTGATTTGCAAATTATGCACTTGCACCAACGTAGACAGCAATGCAAGCTACTCCTTATGTAAAACAAAGATAGAAGGAGAACTCACAATGTGGATAGGTAAGAGAGCTTTCCAAAAATGTCATCCACCTGGTTCTGAAGCTGATTGTGACTGATGTTCCTGCAGTTCCCAAAAGAAAATGAAATTGGTTTACTTTAAACATTTTGTATAAGTTGTGACAAGAAATTGCAAAGAATCATTTACTTACAGATATTCAAGAGAAGTTATCAGAGAGATGGAATAAGGGATGCCTTGATTGAAGTTATTAGCAGCAAGGTTTCTGCATGCCAAAAAATAGTCTATATTATCAAAAACAAAAATCAGAAGTGGAATAATAAACAAGAAAACAGTAGATTAATGTGTTTATGAAGCATACAATCGAGTCATGTTTGGAGGAAGTGAATAAGGTATACTGCCTTGGAGATTATTATGGCTCATGTCTCTGCAAAATTTGTCAAATACTCAAATCACAAGATCAAGCTAATGCAGTAAAAAAAAAAAATTGATCAACTTGACATATATGACCATTGATCTTACAGGTTGGTTAATGCTGTCAAACTCTGAAACGAAGACCACAATGTTCCCGAAAGTTGAAGATTTGATACATCACTGATTAAAAATAAAATAAAAATACCAATGACAGAATAGGTATCAGAAATCAGCACAAAGGTGGAAATATCCAGGGAAACAAATGAGGAAGTAGGGAATCACATTTCCGTTATTCGTGAGCCCGAGCACTTAACACCTTTCCAAGACTGGCCGCATGGATCATCACCACTTGCACTCCACTGGGTTAGCTGAGATGGGGAGTTTAAGCTACTATACAAGGCCTTCAGAGCAGAAACTGTGCACATAACATGCCACAGGAAAAGTCAATACAAGCAAAGCTAGATATGGACTATGAATGAACAAGCATGCTAACTAATTGATAGAATCTAAAAGATGCTTTCAATTAGGGGTGCCATGATCATGTCAGGTTAAGACACCAATGTTCAACTAATTGGATGAACACTAACAAGATATAAATTAATAATCATGTCAAAAGAAACAAAGAAGTTCATATTAAGTACCAGTAAACACATTACCAAAATATTCAAAATTAACCAATGAAATGAAACTGAAACTTAAAAAATCATATAAAAAATTACGAATAAATATTATTTTTATTTCATACACCTAAACAAGTTATAATAATGTTCAAAAGCTGATGGATTGTAAACTTTGAGTCACTGACTGAAGTTCCAAATCCACATGAAGATGATTGCTTATAGAATGGTTCACAGACAATGAAAACAAATTCTAGCATTAAAGAAACTACCTCTTGAAAAGACTAATACTTTTATCATGAAGTTCATATCACAAGGTTAGAAATTTATCCTGAAAATTTTTGTTGGTGAATTAGGTTTGCTGGGATCTTTTTGTTGCTGCTTATATCTTCTTTCAGAAACTTTGTTTCTGTACAGGGCTTGTTAAGCTTGAAGTTCTCTTGGTTTCTTTTGGTTGAGTAATAACAATTATCATCTTGGTTTGTTTTAAGTCTTCTAGTCTTCTAAGCAACATTGATATTATTTTGATTTCAATTGCTCGTAAGTGAATCTACATCGTCTTTAGGCATGTCAACCTTTGATATGGTTGTTTCCGTGGTATGGTATGATAGTGAAAACATTGGTAAAATGATTGTGCTTATTAAAAAGACTGAGACATTCTTAAAAACAATATCGTTTTTGTGAATTTCTGATACTCCAGTTAAAGAAAGCACAAATCTTACAAATGGTAGGCTCCCTTGTGTTTTAGTTGATTAACTTATTAAAATACCAATGGTATACTTCAATCCCTTTCTTACAAATTGATGCATCTAAACAGGGAAATTAGAGAATCCAGAATTAAATCTCAGCCATGCTGAATAGGTTAGCCAAACCGACACTTCAAATCCTGGAACTTAGAATCATGTTTTTCAAATCCCATTCTTTTGAAATCCCTTGGTACTTTCAATTACCTGATCTAAACGCAAAGTGAAAATTGTAAATGTTAGAAAAGTAGCAATTGCAATTGCTTTTCATCATATCTCAAACTGGGAATTAAACGCTTTTAAAACGCAAAGTGGCAATGATAGTCATAAAGCGACAGCTAATTCTCACTTTGATAAAGAGAGAGAATAATTTCATTCTCTTTTCTGAAGCTCGAATTACATGAATGCGAAACAGCAATCACATAAAATCCCAGAATTTATTTATTTTAAATAAAATTAAGTGAGGCAAAGTAAAGCAACACCACTAATATCAGACCAGACTCTGCATATAAACAGTTCCTCTGATATTGCCCTTTCATTTACAGAAAGAACTCCACACCAAAAATAAATAACTCAAAATCAACAATATAAGCACAAATCTGAACCCAATAAGCAGTTGAAGGACCATTTCTAAAATACTAAAGAAAGTCAAATCTACAATGCATGTACTGTGTCTAGTATTCAACACAAATGGAGAAAAATAAAGCAGCAAAAATAATGCGGATGTGCCCAAGATTAGCTCATGAGAGTACAAACAAACTGGTATTAATTCAAAGAAACAGCAAAAAGGAAAAAGAGAGAAGAAGAGTTGGGTGAGACACTGACCATCATTTGGATCTGTGGCAGCATTGATGGAACTGGGACTCCATCCCAAAATGCAGATGCCGAACACCAGCAAAACCCACCTCCAAGTCTCCAACATCTCTCTCTCTCTCTCTTTCTTCTCTTTCAGCACTCACTCTCTGCCTATTCTAAACTTACCCACAGAACACAAATGCTAATGAAAGCTTGCCCCTTTTTGGGTGAATTGATTTTGTTTTCCCAAACAGATTTGTAATATATTTTATTCTTAAGTAGCCATGCCCAAACAAAGCTGGCAGGCACGATTTGCCAGAAGAATCCAAAGCCACAGAAAAGAAAAGCTTTTGTTTTTTTCTCTCTCTACTTCTTGGTCTTATTGCAATTTTCTATCTTTTCTTTTCTTTTTAGGTATGAGGAGGAAAATACACAATACTCTTGGTTGGTGTGTATGCACTAGCTGTGTGTAGCTAGGCCAACCCAACTCTATGTATAATTCATTGCTATATCATATTCACATTATTCTCTCTCTCCCTAATTATTTTCCAAATTTGATTTAACTATAATATAGAAAGTCACAGCTTTCATCAGCTTCACACGCTTTCATCAGTACTGGCCTTCATTTCATCATGACTGGGTGGCAACCAAGAAAAAAAAGATTAAAATCACCATGATGGATTTACTTTCACCAAAATGTCACCTTTTAGATGGAGAGAGATGAAAGTCACGAGATTCTCGTACATAAAAATCAAATCTTTTCTTTTTTTTCTCCTTTTTCCTGTTTTTCTCTCTCACATTCTGTGACAGTGGCATCAATTTTAGTTAACAGTTAGATTTGGTCTTGGATTAGATTTGGTAGATAATCAGTGACCCAATCAGCAGCGAAAGCAGGGCAGTAAACAGTGGCGATGGTGCCATATTGGATTCGACTGTATTGAATTGGACTGTGCGAAGTAGTCAACGTCAGAGCTGCTCCTGCTTCTGTTTTTACTGTCACCTATCTTTTACTTCACTTTTCTTTTCTTGTCCTTTGAATCTACGTACATGGCTGTTGTTTTGAGTTTGAGTACATTACTAAAATAAGGAAAGTATTTAAGACACTCTGCTAATATTTTTAATACAGTTCCTCCTTTTTTGGGTAAACGTTTATCAAACCATTGTATAAAAATTCAATAATTAAGTACATATAATTGTTCGGATATTTAGTTTGTCATTTTATTTTTTATTTGACAATTTGATATTTCAAACTACTGCAATTTAAGAGCAAAGAATTCGAATTCAAGTTTAAAAACGCCGACATACTATCTTGATCAACTGACCTGATTCGCATTTGCTTATTGTATTTGCTAATATTATTTATTTATAATAGGTCGTCTATCTTTTTCTTCTTTTTTTTGGCAAAGAGCATCATGCCGTCTACCATGTTCTTTAGTATTTAAAATTCAGATTTGTTTTTTAACTAATATATTGTATTTCAGTGGTAGGTGAAAGTGAAATAAACACACAAAGTCAAATCTCAACGAATCTTTTCTTAATTCTTCAATGAGGGGAATGATTATGGATAAAACTTTGTTTTGTTTTTTTTTTCTTCTCATTATGGATGATGCAAAGCAGACGCTCTTATTCCCCCTATAATCTATTGCCTAATGGACCATGACATCTTTGGACAAATTTGAAATTTATTTTTTTTGGTCAATGACAAAATTGATTTTCAATATCTATGTTTTTGGTGAGGCAACCATAGACAATGAAGTATGAAATTTATTATAAGCATATAAAGAGGACGTATGAACGAGATCCAGCCTAACACAGACTTATGATGGTTAATGTAAGAAACATGTGGTTTCCCTTTAAACAAATTCAACTCCATATATTTGTTGCAATATGACTTTCTTTCTTCTATTAAAGGCACATATAGTCTATAGGGTCTTACATCGTATGTTAAATCAACAATAACCTTATTTATAATATTAGTTTCCATGTATTTTTTATACAAATTGTCAAAGAATATAAGTCATATATCGGAAATTTGACTAAATAAAATACAAGATATAATGAATGGTTCCAGTACTGATATCACCGAGGCCTTTTAACATGGATATTCTATTTTAATTTAATCAAATATGCAGAGAGAAAATTCAAACTCGAGTATAGAGAGGGAATGCTCATTGTCACATTTCTAATTAGGGGGAATGCAAAAGGTTATTGTTGGTTCTAATGAACATTTGTCACATTTCCAATTAGAGGTAAGGAATGCTCATTCCATTTACTTAAATTTAAAAGACTTCAAGCCCTAGATCTTAAATTCCGTACACACGCATGACGCGATCCATAAAAGATCATTAAGATATGGGACTTGGAAACCTAAAATTTTTGTACATGGAATTTGAACTGAAAAACCTCATCTAAAAAGTGAAACCTAAATACCACTATGCCAAATTATATTATTAGGCTCCTACAATTTCAAAGTTGAACATATTTGACGTTTTCTTTAGGTTGCTTGCAGATTGCAATATCTTAATAATAATCTACCAGCCCCTGATTTATAATTAATCCCACAATTATGATCGTGGCAAACATTTTGGAGACATAATTTTATTACAAATATGGACAAGAATAAAGAATGAAATAGGCTGACAAGTGTTTACAGGTGGGACACGTGTAAATTCTTTTCTTCTGTTGAATGACAGAGCAATACCATACAAATTTAATTCTACTGATACAACTGCCAACAAATTCATTTCAAAATGCTTACGAAAAAGATAAACAATTTTTAAATAAATAAATAAATAAATAAGAAGGGGAAAAAATTGTGATTTGAAATTGATTTTTGTATTGAAAGTTGAAAGTGCTGGGTCATCTGATAACTAAATATTTAATCACCATCAGCTATCAATTAGCTAGCTAATAGTTGGAGACCACGCTTTTGTCTCTGTGCCGTGTAATATCAGAAACCTCCACGTTTGCATGGAGAGATGGAGACCCATGAGGACGTGGCCTCCTCTGTTTGTTCTTAGTCTTGTCGGCGGTCGGTGGCGTTTTTTGTTGACTCAGCAACTCCCTTTGGAAGCATCCTCTGCAACTAAACTCCCCTGCTTCATTGGACTTTAGTGTTCTTTTCTTTTTGGGTTGGTGTTTATTGGGCTTGAGTATGTTCCAAGCCCGTTGATAGAATGGAAGAATGAAGTATGAAATTTTTTGGGTTGCTTCAATTTTCTATCAAATTTGTTCACTAAAATTTGAGTGAGCGTGTTATGATTGGCTAAACCTAGATTCATGCAAAATGTGATGATATCGAAACATGTGTTATCAATGATTACGAGTAACTTTTTAGTGTGATTGTCATATCGTCACATAGAGTCACTAACTTACCTATATTACAACACGTAATGTAATTTTATCATTTCATCTATGTTACGGTACGTTATATATTACATGAATCAAAAACACCACGTGAACCGGTGAGTACCGCATTTGGTTAGATCAATAATTTTCATCTCTTTCTTTCTTTAACAAAAGTGGAGCTTTGGATTCAACTTTATAAGAAGTTTGGTAAGAAAACAGCAAAAGATAGATGCTGCAGGCCACGCCACCAGACACAGCACATGTAGCGTGTGAAAGAGAGAAATTATAACCCAATGATTGTGGTCTTATCCTTCGGAGGCAAAAGGACTCTGGAACATAATCAATTGCATAGGATTTATATACCAAACACCAACAAACCAAAAACTTGTATTTTTTCCCTCTCTATATTCTCAGTACTTGCACACATTCTCAGGGACCCCAATCTTTCCAATCTGTACATGGCAAGGCAATCCCGTCTGATTCAAAACCCAAGTTCTTGTTTTGATGCCAATGGGATTCAAATGGATCAGAATTGAGTAAAAGAAAACATTTCAAGTCACAATCCAAATGCCTGAACATCACGTTTTTTTGAAAAAATAATATTCTTTTTTTGGGACAAGAATGTTACGTAGAAGAGACAACAAGTAACAAAAATAAGAAGCCCATACAACTATTAACAAGAAAAAACAAGAAAACAAGTTGCACTTACAGACCATCTTCATATGGATAGCTTTTCTATGTAAAGCTTTTTTCGTTTTAAGAGCCACAGTGGGGAGGGTATGGCCATATAATGGCTATATATCTCCTTAGAGATGATGAGAGTGATAGAGAGAGACTGTAAATCCGTAACCTGATGTAGAACAAATGACTGAATGGATTGAAGAAAAATTGGAGCGAATGAATAAGGGAAAAAAGATGCAGCAGGAATTTATAGATTGGGCGTCCAAGCTCCGATTGAGTCGCATAATACCTTTCTGAAAAGGGAACGACGCCACGAGTCCAACCCCCTGCTTTGCTATGACATAAGGTGGATTTTGTGCTTATGAGGTCATTTGGGCTTCCAAAAGTATTTATAGGAAGAAGAACATTGTTGTAGACAAATTGGCTAGTTGGAGTCATAACCTGGATCTGGGTTTGTATCTGCTTGATGAGGCTCCTGATTGGCTTGGCTCTGTGTTGGTGTATGACCTGCTGGGGTTGTCTAAACCTCGTATGATTTGTGTCGTTTAGTTTCTTTGGTTGTTAGGGGTTCTTACCCCTCCCTTGTTCACAAAAAAAAAAAGGGCATTTAAAGATTGTAATCAATTTATAGACTTTTCGTTTATTTTCGGTTAAACTTTCAATAACTTCCCAGGGCAATCCAATGGGTGAGAATGATGTATTTAGACAGCCCTGGTGTATGGTTGGATTCAACTCATCTTTTATCAAAAAATACAAACAATGAGAATTTTCTCTCTAACTTTCTGGGGGATTCCAAGTTTATATTCTTTTCTAGGTTACACTTGTAACCTGTTTGCTTGTGCTGTGTCATAACCTGTAAGTTTTTATTTCCTAGTTTACATAATCGGCCATTTTATACCAAAGATATGTTTGTTGATTGTTGAAAATCAAAATTTTATAATTTTTTTCTTTTTTGTTGAGTACAATACAAACAATAGTTTAAATTATTGAAGAGGAGTTTCTCACACACACACACTACCACTATGTCATGAGGATTCGAATTTGAGATCACTAAACTACAAATCAAGAACTTTTTTTCAATTGGCTAGATCTTATTGGCAAAATTATATAGCTTTTAAAATCGAAGGTTACAATAGTTAAAGAATGATCAAAATATGTCATTTGATAAAATCCCCAGAGAAAAGAAAGGGTGCGTGCGTGTATATCTGCTGCTTTGTATTATTGGGCATGTAGCTCTTCTTTATATCTACAACATTTGAGACACAATGATGACGACGAATACGACCTTATTTCGAGTTTAACGACAAATCTGTTATACGTAACCCTCCAAACCAAAACAAACAAATCCACAAACACAAACGCTTGTAGAAACAAATTA